GTTGCCTTGCCCGCCACGCCGAGGGGGGGGGGGGGGGGGGGGGCATTCTCCAGTTAAAGTGGTCCCCGTCTGAGCAAACCGATGCACCAGAACGAGGACAAGATGACAACATCCACCAGGGGGCTGGGGTAGTTTCTACTGTAATGCACAATGGCTGACAGAAAAAGTTGGGCTTGAAGAATCTCAGTCAACTGATGATTCGCCCAGTCGGCGTTCAGGGGGCGGCTCTACTGACCTGTACCTTTCAATCCCCAGCTTTTAGCGTTCCTGTCTTTCAAACAGCATTATGACTGTAGATAAAGTTCATTTCTGCTCCTTTTATTTAAAGTTAAATACAGTAACTCTCGGCCGCTCTGGCGTACAAACTCTCGTCAGTCCGTCGGTGAAGAGCAGCGTGGCCGCTGACGCACACGGGTAAAAAGTCCATTGGCCGCTAAAGCTTCAGGCCTTGAATGTTTGTTCTCAGGTTCAACATCTGCTTCTCCTGTCGGACCTTTTCTTCCTTGAACGCCATCTTGTTGGCTTTCTTCTCCGCTCTCCTCTCCTGCACAAACACACAGAGTTTAACACTTTGCACCACACAAACACTTTCATGTCTTCATGTATTGGCATCTTTCTCTCCGTGGCTGGTTTTGTTTTTCAAGTCTAAACCTTTGACCTGAAGACTAATTGCACCGCTGATGCTGCTGCTCCTCTGGTAAACATTTGAACCTGGGTTGAGTTTGCAAAGTAAACACAATGATCAGGCACAGATATCATTTACACTGACTTACAACACCTTACTAAGCTGATAGTTTTGTTTCATCGTAGGATACGACTGGTGCTCCTCCGTGGACCAAAGTTAGAACAGTTTAGCTTATTTTACAGGAGACATTTCAGTCTGTGTGTCTTTCTCTGCACCCTTCTCACTGGTCTGAAGTGGACCAGGCTCAGCTCAGAAAGCAGACCAGCAGCAACCAGGAGTTGGCGAGTCTATCGCCAAAGGTCACATATCTGTTTTAATGTATATTCCTTGCAGCCTGCACTGTCACTGGAATGACTGAAGCTAAGCAGCAGGTTTGTTTAAGAAGATGAGAGACAATGGGTACGTCAAACAAACAGCTAACATCAGAAAGATTCATGACACCACTATGACTGTCACCCTCCACCCAACCTCCTCCTGCCTTCATCTCTCACCTTGCGCTCCTCCTTGACGGCCTGTTTCCTCGCCTTCCTCTCCTCTTTGCTCTCGTCCCTGTCTCGGGGCTGGGTGGAGACACGAGGCAGGTCTGAGTCGTTGATCCTCGTCATGCGTTCCGCCTGCTTGGCGGTCAGGCCCTTGGCAGGGAGGACGTCCAGAGGGATGCCCGTCCTGTTGGACATGCGAATCGGCTTCGGCTGAGGACAGAAGGGAAAAACAAATGACTTAGGTTGGAGCCAAAGCTGTTGTAAAAGAGAGTGGCATGTTTAGGGGCTGTTTCTTGACTCCACACTGATATGTTTCATCTTTTTTTAAAACCAGTCTGACTCTGCTCCAGGTTTATATTCCTGTAACCTGGCTGTCTGGCTCTGGAGCATAATAATCTGGTCTCTGACTGGGTCTGTTTGCTGCTGAGCAGGTCGTAGACAGTGGCTGTTTACAGCGGCAACTCTGAGAACAGCTGTGGCCCAAACTGAGAGCAGTGAGGGTGAACCAACGCAGTCAAGTTGAGTCTGAACAACAAATAATGAGCTCAAAGTCACGATAAAGCTCCTAAAGCCACGAGGAGCTGCATTCATTCATCTCCATTTTCACAGTGACGTGCACAAGTCTTCAGCTGGAGAAGTCTCATCTTAGACGTACACTCTGTGTGTCTGCAGACAGGTTCAACTGTTGATGCACCTGCTTCCTCAGCAGTCTCAGGTGGTGGAGGTGTGATGTGCACCACCTGTTGGTCACACACCTGTCTCAGCACAAGGGACAGGACTGACTTCCTCTGTTAACTGGCAGCGTTTTAGGACAGCCCTCCAGCTGTTGAACAGTTAACTCATCGTGATTTTCATATTTATATTTTGTGCAACAAAGCGAAAAAATCTAATAAAGAAGCGTCTTACCTTTGGCGGCTCTTCGATGACTTTGGGTCTGTTGTACATGTTGGAATATGTGCCTGGAGAAGTAAAACATGCTGTGAAAATATGATAAACATTTTAATATCACACCACACACACACACACACACACACACACTTGCTAACTCAGAATAAGGTGTGTTAAACTTTACTAAGTCTGCCTGAAGCTTTGAGTTTCATCTGAGCTGAGGGGAGAAGCGCACGTTGACTCCTGAACTTGGATAAAATTATTTCTTAATGCCAATTCCCAAACGAATCAGAACAACCTTCATCACTGAAAGTTTAAATGTGACAGTCCAAGCAGCAGAACTGATCCTGCACGACTAATATTGTTAGAATTTGTAAAACCTGACAAGTCAAGACAAACACTACTTTATTCTTCTCAAGAACATTTGAGGCCAGAAATTCATGGACCATCCCACATTTGATGACCTTTGGTGCTTTACGGCTGTAGGAGCGTTCAACGCGGAGGTAAATCCACGACTCACATTTCCTGTCAATCACTGAACTGATCAGAAACAGATGAGGTGTGAAGAGTGAAAAGTCTGAGCTGATACAAATGTAACTACACAGCACAGTGAATTGAAGTGGAAACTCACTGATGATGGTTTCACAGTCCCACGTCTCTTCTGGAGCCTCGATAACAACCATCTCCATCTCCTCTTCATCCTCGTCATCGTCATCCTCCTCCTTCACAGCAGGGAGTTCTTTAGGACCCAAGTCATCAGGCCTCAGCGACCTGACACACAAACAAGACACAAATGAGTCTCCTGAGTCAGCTGAAGCGACAGATCCACCAGCTAACTCCACAGTGTAACAAACCACTAATGACTGAATCAGATCAAGGCGTCCGCTCACTCCTTCTCTTTCTGTGTGAAGTAATCTTTGATGACTTCTTCGAGGCGAGCACTGTCCGGCTGGATGAAGCCCTCCAGCTCAGCGTTGTCCAGGGCCCCGATCTCATCGTCGTCAAACTGCTCGTAGAACTGAAACAACACAGGTGCGGTTTACATTTCGTACCACAGACAGACAACACAAGTGAGTCTAGTTAAAACCCTGGCAGTTCCTGTGTCTGTGTTGTGCTGGGCCCACTCTGCCTGCTCCTCTGGTCTGTATGAACACACTGGTTACTGGTGCCTTTGGGAAGGAGGTGGGAAACAAGTGGTCTGGTCGGGGTTCCCACAGACCAGCTGGTATTACGTAATTTTAGAGGTGTGAGGGCGGAGGCCAGAGGATGTAGCCCGCTTCAGAAAAGCCTGTTCACCTTTTCGAAGCGGTCGTCCAGCAGAGTGAGCTGCTCGTTCCTCCTCATCACAGACGACGTCAGCGAGTACTCAGTGAATCGACTCCTCGTCTCCTCGTCGGCGAACAGAAGCTCTCCACAGCGGTCGTCCTCGTCCTCCGACAAACCGCCCTCAGAGTCGAAGTCACCTTCCTCGTCTGTGTCTTCCCACTCATCATCGTCATCTTCATTGAACTCAGCGCTATCAAAGGAAACCACAATGAAATGTTTGACAATATTTAGATTTCTGGATAATACTGACAAACTATATCACAGTAATGATCAAATCTGCCAGTATCAATACACAGTTATATGCTAAACTGACTAGAACTACATGTACCACTGTGAAACCTTCTCTGATAGACTAGCATTTGACAAATCTCCTAAAACATGGCTCCATTATCATGTTATACAGTCGTGTCTGCAAATATCACTGTCCAGAAAACCAGATCATACAGTTGTCATTTTCCACTCTGCTTCTGAAAAGTGATTTTTGTTAGTGTAACCACATAAAGTAACCATATTTCAGTGGCCCTCTGACAAAGCATTGCAGAAAATCATTCAGTTTCATAAAGCAAAGTGAGAGAAGACAACAAAAATAAAAAATCTACCTCTGACGAATCAAGAGCAAACAATATTTGCAGTATTTGTTGTTTCTTACTCTGTGCCTGCTGCTGCACACGCACTGTTTGCTTTGCTGATAAAGTCATCGTCCAGGATGTTGTCGGGGTCGTCGTAGTTAAAGTCGTCGTCAAGAGCGGCCACAATGTCGGGATCCATGTCCAGTCGGGGTCCTGAAGGCAAAGGAAGACAAAATGCTGACAGCCAACAGGAGCAAGAGATAAAAAGAAAACGCCATCACGAAACTGGAAATATGACGAATCTAACCAGAAGCATGAAGGGACGTCCAGAGCTGCTTCAGAGAAACTATTTAAAAGCTTATGTCATCAAAAATTCACCTAACAAGGTCTGCTTCTCCTGCACCGAAGGGTTAAAAACAACTGTCAATATTCTCCAGAAACAAGTTAGGAAAGAAGGCAGAACTCCACAGCACAACGCCCACATCAGCCAGTGTCGCTGCTGATGCCTGGAGACGCACAGCTTCTAAAGCTTCTTGGTAAATCTTTAGCCGTGTGGAGTTGTGATGATTTTGCTCCTTAAATCATCATGTGTATAATTAAGATGCTTCATCTAGATGATTCCATATGGCCTGAACTGTTTCTAAAACTTGATTCGCATCATCTACGTCGTACCTACAGCATAGATCCAATGCAGAACCACAAATCAAGTTTAAGACTACTCCAAATCAAATGCCCTCTACCAGCAGAGGCCAGTACAAGTCCTTAATGCCACTTGGCTGTTTACCTGAGATTGGAGCAGCCTTGTTCAGGAGACCCACCTCCTCTTCAAACTCTGAGGCGAACACTGACGAGGGCAGGTTGATGGTGGACGCCTGTTCAGACACACAGGAATCATTGGAGAGCAGATGTTTTTGTAGCAGGACCCCACACAAAGCATGCAACATCAGAGAACTGTCGACACTCCGTGTTAACTGACGGAGTTACATCCAGGGTAGAACAAACACACCTCGGACTAAGACACCTTCACTCACTCTGCCATAGTTCAGTTACAGTGTGGAGCAAGATCTGATGAGTTACAGACATTATTAATGATGTACAGGGCAAACACCAAAGCATTGTCAGAAAAGCTACAGTTGTATTTTCAGTTCTGTGGAGGAGGAAGGAATTTTTTTATTTTCTTTTACTACAACACAAAACATATGACGTTAACACAGAAAGCGAAACGATGGATACAGGAGATTTACAAAAGAACATAATGATAAAAAAGTGTAGAAAGAGTTTACAAGAAGTTTTCATGTGATGTGTGAGTGTACGTTCTGCTCTACTCAGTCTGGACATAAGAATATGAATATAGAAGGAGAAGGAGGAAAGAGGGTAAAGAAGGCAGTTAGCTGAGTAGGTGTGGGCTGGAAATCACAGCTCCAGAGCAGCTCAGCAGGGTGTGGTCGGCTAGGACCGCAGTGCCGTTGCTCTGTGGTTAATATTAAAGCGGTTTTCCCTGAGCAACTCGGACTCATCCTCTGAGCCACTGCATCATCCCGTCCCTGAGGAGGGAGCCTGTTTAGTCAGCGGTTAACAACAAAGTTGTGTTTGGCTAAGAGAAGAGAAACAGTGACACGGCCTGTGAGGAAGAAAATTAACTTGGAGCTGCAGTGTGCGTGGATTACTTTAAAGCAGATGTGTGTGTGTCAGTGTGGTGTCAGACTGTGACATTCTCCTGACAATGACCTAAAGGGTTTCTCAGATATTTTTCAGATCAATAAAGGGCACAATGAGAGAACAACTAGAAAGCAGGAAGTTTAGGATCACTACCTTTGGTTCTTGATGGTTTTTACATGTCACTTGTAAATAACAGCTGTGAAGAATTTGGAATTGGCAAATCATTTATTTCCATATCTTTTGAGTAAGAGGCGGTTAATGTAAGATGTCCAGCTCCCTGAAGACGGGGAAACAGTTTAATCTGTTTATGAAGCACATTTTATTCTGAAATTCTACATTCAGAATAAATACATTTAATTAAATGTAGTTTCTATGCCTCCCAGTTCAGAAATCATGAATAAAATGTAAGTAGATGTGAGTGAAAATCATGTTGAAGTGCTTCATAAGTTGCCACATGGTGGCGCTACACGTGAAAATCATGCCTACTTTTCCACCACGCTCTGAAATGTTAAAACTTTTCTAAGATTCTAAATATATTTAAGTTTTTCAAAACCATTCCATAACTTTTCCAGGACTATCATGACTGAGTCAACTCACAGGAAAAGCTCTGTCCCCGTCTCTCTCCTCCTCATTCTCCTCACTCTCCTCACAGAGGTCAACCCGTCGTGTGTCGCTGTACGAGGAGTCGGCCGCCACCATCTCGGACAGGCCGGACGTCTCCTTCAGGTGCTGCAGGTAATCGTAGTCATCATCAAAGAAAACTCCAAATTTCCTCTGCTCCTCATGCCGCTTCTCTGCATCCACCTGGAAAATATCAAAAGCACAACAGCGGTATCACATCAGACACAACATTTGTAATGTCAAGCAAAGATGTGTCAGTTGTTTGTCAATTTAAAATGACTGCAAAATAAATCTGAGTAGTTGGATGAAATTAACAAGACAGGAAAAAACAAGGTGGTTTATTTTTCTGACTTTGGTTAATTTATATTTTTAAATACTGAACAACCTGACAGTAGGCTATGTCACTCTTTGGTGGTTTGGTTGAACTGCTTCTAACTCACAGATTTACCCAACCTGTGCACAGGGGTTGCAAGTTTCTCCTGTTTCTCTCTAAAGGGTCACAAAGGCCAAAAAGGTTACGAGCCACTGAGGTAATTCAGCACCGTCATCCAGGAATTATAAACAAGAAGTAAGGTGACATTTATTGAATAAAACAGCACAGCTGATCTGTACCGTGGCGGTGGGCAGGAGGACGTGTTGAGGGGCTTTCTCATCTGCGGCCAGCGGGTCCCTCTGACTTCTGTGGACAAGGTGAAAGGTCACCGCCTTCTTTTTTTCAATGAATGATTTCTTCTTTCGATGAGGCTGGAAAGACACCAACATGGCAGTGGTCAGAGGAGACCTGGTAAAGATTCAACACTAAGGTCTCTGGGGTGAGTCCAGTGTACTTCTACACCACATCTCATGAGAAATATTGTACTTTTTACACAACTCTTAAGTATGAAGTGTGTCAAATGTATACAAATGTGACGCGCCTGTACTTTACTAACGTGTTTGAATTGAACTACAATTCAGAGGCAAACCGTTCTTTACATTTCACTGCATTTATTTCACAACTTCAGTTTCTTTGAAGATTAGGATTAATAATACAAAATGTAATCATGACAATATACACATTATGATGTGTTATGTGAATCAACAATCATCCCCACCGTTGGCAACCGTAATGTATGAACAATAATATAATAGACATCACTCTGAACTGGTTTACTGTGCATACTGAGTACTTTTAAATTTAACACCTTTATACTTTGGACTTCACAAACAATCTGAACGCATGACTTTTTCTATACATTATATATTTTGGATATTTTTACTTAACTTAAGTAAAATCTGAGCACTTTCAAAACCACTACCAGAAGAACCCAGCTGAGTTAACTGGCTACAGAAACAAGCCTGAAGAGGATTAACTGTACTTTTATAAAGGCTACAACAAGTTAAATTACTTGTAAACTATTATAACTGTACTTTTATAAAGGCTACAACATTATAACTGTACTTTTATAAAGGCTAACTGTACTTTTATAAAGGCGACAACAAGTTAAATTACTTGTAAACTATTATAACTGTACTTTTATAAAGGCTACAACAAGTTAAATTACTTGTAAACTATTATAACTGTACTTTTATAAAGGCTACAACAAGTTAAATTACTTGTAAACCATTATAAACAACGCTGACGTTAGCCGCTGTTAGCTAACAACTTTAGCTTAGCGTAAAAAAGGCAGCGCACCATTTTGTAACGGAATCTCTGAAGGTTTTCTTCGACTGGCAGAACTTAAAGGTCCCAAATCGTCCAATTACTGGTAGATGTTAAAACAAATAAACTTCTAAATCCAGACACTGTCGTTGTTTCTCCACGCCGGAGCCTCCTTCACCATGCTGCTGCTGCCATTACTGGAGGGAACCATTTCAGAGAACCGCGGGGGGAGACAACGATATAACGATACTTTAATACAGACACCACATGGGATGAACTTTGATTCCTGGCTTAAAATGATATGTCAGTCAGAAACAATCTAAATGGACTAATGTGTTTCTATTAATGATGCAATTCGTTTTATTGTAGACAGTGGTTGTCTACCCTCATGGTTGGTATAACCTGGGTTCTTTCTCACTTTAGAGGCGCTTCATAAACCAGTTTACAGATGTATTACCGCCCCCTGCTGGACTGAAAAGTGGCGCAGTCAGTGAGCTGACAAAAAATGAAAAACAAGTCAAGTGGAATTTTATTGAGAAAACCCAATTTCACCAGTCACAAACTTGCCTCGTGGGGCTTTACAGTCTGTACAGCACACAACACCCTCTGTCCTTAGACCCTTAAAACCTCAAGGAAAAAGTCCCCCCAAAACCTTAAAATGACTAAACAATGGAAGAAATCTCAAGGACAACAGAGCAGGGATCCCTCATCCAGAACAGGCAGACAACAAATGTCCTCCGTACAGAATAGAGTAACATAGCAGATTTACAGTAAAGACAATGAAATCACAATGACAAAATTAACAAACTGTAAACATATGAAAAATACCTGGGATGATGTTGACTAACTAAGTACATGCAATTCTGTGTCTTTCTCTGGCAATTTTCATCAGTCTGAAGTAATTTGTTGACTTTTATGGTACTGTGTCACTTTATACAGAGGCACAGGATCAGGGACCTCCTGACCTCTCAGCCTCCTGGGCCGGCACCCGATCGGCCTGTCTGGAAATTCATCAGTGGGTTAAAGAGATGGCGTCAGTTTCTTCTGTTAAACCCATGGCTGGATTATCCTTGTAGGCTCATGTATATGGCAAGAAATTAGTCTCAAAACAGTGATGACAAACACATAACATGACTTACGAATAAAAAAAAACAAAGATTTACAAAGGTGTATCACAATTTGTGGATGGTATCAGAGCATTTGCCTCTTTGGGCCCCAGTTACCATTTATTTAAACAAAACCGTCTGATGGGAAATGTCTCTAACAACTTAACCTAACAACTCAATTATCTGAAACATGTCAACAATGTTTTTAATAGAGCGTCACGTGCCAGTCGGTTTTGCACCGCTGGTTTAATCTTCACAGTGCTGTATGTAGCCTTAATCTGAAAAGCAATTAGATGTAAGTTTAGTAAAGTAGTGGTAGCATTACATGGAAATAGAAGTAAAACATCACAACTTTACTTAATTTGATTGCATGAGTAAATGTACTTCAGGTGACATACCTGATTTTAAAAAGTCAATGTTTTTTGTCATATCAAAAACAAAGGTTTCATTCCAAATTTATTTCCATTTGTGTAGAAAAAAATAAAACAATCCTTTGTCCAAAAGCAAGGCAGTAAAAAGTTTAATCCTCCCCACCCTAATACCTTAGTTCAGACAGTGTCTCATATTACGTGCTCAGATAATGGCATTTAAAATGAGATGATGACACATGAACACGTGCGTGTATGCATCATTACGGCCTGAGTATTAAACCCGCTGAGCTCCAGGGTCGTCCGTTTTGTACTTCTGGCGGCTTCTGTTTGCTTTCGGTTTCCCTTCAGACATTCATGGACAACATCAGGAACTGTGGGGAAAAGGAAATAACGTGCGGTTAAATCAAAGTCAAGTGCAATAAATGAAGTCTCAGAACATTCCAAACTAAATCCAGTTAAGTCGCAGAGATGAAAACCAAAACAAACAGGAGCATCCCGGGTTGTTTGGCTACTTTTTCTCCCTCAGGACTCGATAGAAAAATGATACAGATTTACCTGCAACACTGCAATTCAGACTTTGTTAAACTCAGTTGTTATTCAATTTAAATTAAACTTCAATTTGACAAACTATACATAAATTACTGTGCATATTTTCAGGCTGGACAATTAAAAGGAGTTTGTGTTTCCTCAAACCCATAAAACACGCTGTGTAGTAACACAGTAACCCTTTGTACTCCACCTGCGGCTCTTTTCACTGAAACACTGCAGACTTGTCACTGTGCTCCTCAGTTCCAGAGTCACTAGCATTTGTCTGAACCACACATTTTCAGCAGCACCACACGAGTGCGTGTCCTTGTAAGTAAAACCTGGTTGCTTTCAGTCCAGGACCTGGGTCACCAGGAGCAGGGATGTGATTGGACGGCAGTAGGAGATGGTGGCTCACACATACACACATATAAACTAGAGGCCAGAGCAGAAAAAACCCAAGAACATCCCAAAGACTGGTTTATGGTATCAATGCTGTCTTAGACCTTCAGACCCTCAGACTCTTGTTTAGGTTTTCCCAATATGTATCAATTACCTTTTGCTCCCCTCATAATGAAGCCTGTGAGCACAAAGACCTGGATCAGTCCTACCCATCTGGTAGATAAACCCACCAGGTAAGATAAAACATAGGTTTCAGAGTTATTGGCAGAGATCAATGGAGTCAGGGGTGGTTTTACCTGCATGATGTTCATCCTCACACGTCCCCTATTGCCTGTATCCATGGCCTGGAAAGCTCCTGTTAGGAGAACGATTCAGTCAGCACCAGGTGGAACATAACCTTCCTAAAGTTTCACCTATCACTCTCCAATGTGGCCATTTTGTGGCATTAATGTAGTTACTGTAAACCTAGAGGAGGATTTTATTTCAAATGTTTTCACGTACTGAACATGTTCTCCAGACGGACAATGCAGGTGAGGTAGTCGTCAAAGTCGATTTCATGGTTTGCGTCACCAAACCTCAGGCAGATCAGCTGCAGGAGTTGGTTGTTAAGACGCATCCCTGTAAGAAAACAGAGCAGCACCCACACAACGTTTATATTACTCCCCAGAACCAACTCATTTTTACCGGATGTAATGTTCTCGCTGCTACAACCACTGCTCGTTGCTGCAGTACTACGTTTACCACTTTTACCACCACTACTACAGCCTCTGTTCATACTACAAGTACCTCTACTACTTTTAGTAATGGCAGTATAAATCATAATAGGAAATTGCAAATGCTGTGAAACAAACATTGACAGGCATTTAAAAACACCTTTCAATATATTATGAACCTAATTAATTTACTTTATTTATACACTATGTTGGAACTAGGTTTTACAGTACATTCCACGTGGTGATAGCGAGTGTATTTTGTAATAGTACACAGTATTTTGGAACACATTCCATATAGGGAATCCCATTATGGATAATAATGATTATACCACATATGGTATTCTCTTCAATAAGTTCAGTTTGAACTTGCAAACAAACATTTTATTTAACACTATTCACAGGCTTTGTCCAGGGCATCCAGCTGTGTTTCCACTATAGAAGACTGAAGATGTTCAAAAGCTCTGGAATCAGCTGGAACTGGACCTCGTGCTGTTTGTCAGTTTGAATAAACTGCACTGAAAAATGTGTCCGCAACGTTAAAGCTATGTGTAATTTCATCTGCATACATGAACGATACACGTTGTTTCAGTGAAAACATTAAAAACATGAAAACAGTCAGTTACAAATGAAACTTTAAAGTAATCCTGGCTGGGAAGTGAAGAGTGGAGTCTCACCTGCAGCGCTCAGAGCGCTGCGAAGCTCGTAGGACGACATCCTCCCCTGCCGGTCGGTGTCGAAGGACAGGAAGAGCATCTGCAACAACAGAGGCTCATCTTTCACAACCAGAACCTCAAAGAACCACCAGAGCTAATTTACAGCTTAACCACATGAACCGGCACGTACAATCCACTTCTTCATCTTTTCCCAGAAGACCTTGAACTCCTGGAACTCCAGCATCCCTGTGTTGTCCACCTGGTTTACACCGTCAAGGAAAACGCTCAAACTGACTTGTTGTAAAACCTGTTTAACTCCAACTTTACCTGTGTTTGTGCTTCAGTGTGAGGATTTTTTGCACATTGAAATATGTGAACAAGAACAATACCCGGTGACACACCACTGTACACGCTCAGGGGTCAGTTTATTAGGAACACTGAGCTCAAACTGAGTCAGTCTGATCCAACAGTCCTGTAGTAAAACCTTCATGAAGGCAGTGATGTTCAGTTTGTGTTCAGACCGTCCTTCACGAAGGAAGTGATGTTCAGTTTGTGTTCAGACCGTTTCAGGGAGGCTGGAAGTTGTGCTGCTGCTGAACTGTACTGCCTTATACTCATGGGTGGATTACTGAGCACAGGGCCAGGGATTAGAGCGGCACTGGGCCAGCACATCTGTTTGACTGACGTGAAAAATATATGAAAGAACCACAAAAAGACAAAACTGCAATGAGATGGGATGCAAAGCCACTACAAGGAGGCACGAGCAAATTAAAAGGACACACAAAGTTGTGAAGCAAGCATGTGACCAGAGGGTTGCCGTTTCAATCCCCGAACCAGCAGGATCAGATCTGGGTGGGACAGGTGACAAAGCAGCACCTGCCTCACCCCCATCACTACCACTGTGGTGCTGTTAGCCCCAGTGGCCGCAGGTCAGTGGTTATACTGGTTGTACTGGGCTGCTTCCAGGTGTGAATGTGAACTGCGTCCCCGAAAAATAGAGGTGGGCTTTTAGCGGACCTACCCTGAATAAATAAAGGTTAAAATGATAATAAAAACGACTCCAAAAAGACACAGACTGACCAAGAAGAAATGCAAAATAATCACAGTGTCTCAAATCAACTACAGATCAATGCAAACCAACCACAAAAAGACACAAAATGACCACAAACAGAGAAAAATAGCCACTGTTGTTTTGTTTGCGGTCATTTTGTGTCTCTTTCAGTCTGGGGCTCTGTTATAGGATAGGGTGGGGGCCTTTACACATCTGTCCCCGGTTAACCCATTGTCTCCAGCCACGTTTATACTGACAGGTGTTTCTATTATTTTGTCCACCCCATTTAGATCAGTGAGGCTAGACTAAACAACAGCAACATCTCTGTATGAAAGAGTCTGAACAAACCGAACATCATCACCGTGATGGAGGAGGATTTACTGCAGGACTGGTGGATGAGACGACTCAGTTTGAGACAGGTGTTCCTAATAAACTGGCAACTGAGTATTAATCTGCTAGAAAACAAGTTTATTAACAGACTGAAACAAGTTGGTCAGTAACTTGGAAGGATACATCCATCAGGTTGATGATACTGTGGCAGGTGCTGAGACTCAGACCATCAAATTTGATCTCTTTTCCTGAAGACAGAGGATTAAAACACAACACAACAAAATAAGGTGACAGATGCCACTTAATAGATCGCACACATTCCTGTTAATACATTAGTCTTCGCACTGAGTCTTTTGTTTAATCACAGTCATATTCATGTAGAAACCTGAACATTACTATGTATGAAGTTGCAGTATACACAGTCGGTAAATGGTAAACAACACAGCATTTAAATAAAAGACTTTGGCTAATATTGATTGGTTTAACTGTTTAATTGGTTGTTTTTTTCAGTGGAAGGATCTAAAAATTCAACAGCAGGGGTCTGAGAAAGGAGCCCTGTCAAACTCCATACACGTCAAATTTACTAGCTGAGCTTCATTATATCATCTGTCGAACATAAAACGTTTACGCAGAGAGGTGTCACAGCATCTAAACTCAAAGCAAAGAAAGGAAACCTCTTCTATTCACTTACGTCTGCTGAGGACACCGTTTAACATCTGTTGGAGCTCCCAGACAGAGATGGCCTGGTCCTGAAAAGAAAACTTCAAACTCAAACACCTCAATGCAACATGCAGGCGGCACAACAACACACGCTGAACGGGGAATAATGATCATCTGCAAACATGAGGAGTTTGACTGGAATTATTCCAAGCCAGCGTCTGAGCAGGTAAATCTCCTAAAGCTCAGGTTATGTCATACAGGAGACCTCTGCTCTTTACTAATGTGAACTGCTGTCCAACACTGTGGACTGATCTGATTAAGCTGCTGTTTTCTTACATCACCAGCCAGCTGCTCAAACAGCCTCCTCAGGCCTTTCTCCTCGTTTGTTTCCTCCTCTGGAGCGCTGGGCATGGGCGGCTGGTGGAGACAACACAGCATCAGTACAAGCAGATCTGACTGGCTGATTGGCTGATGATCAACGTCTGCCAGATCAACTTACGATTGGGAGGTCAGCATCGATGTTGCTCCCCATCTCCCTGTGAAACCACAAGTTGTCAAACAGGAATCAGGGATTACAGCTGGAACTTTGTGTTGACATTTAATAAACTGTTACCCCAGAAGTTTTATTCCTATCACAAAGGAAAGATATGGAGCCCCAAGTTTCCTCGGATGTTTTCTAAAGTACTTTTGGGTTCCCATGCAATGAACGCTGAATTACCTCAGAGAAAGGCCGACCTGTATTATGATACAGTACAGGATATAGTACAGGTCGTCACGGGTTGTGTGTTTGTTTCCAACAAGGGAACACAAAAGGATTTCATTTTAAAAACTTCCCACCCAGGCCAAGGGGACACTCCTTTAAACCCATATTAATTTATGTTTGAGCTCATTTTACTGTGTATTTGATTACACAGTGATTTATGAAGAGTTTAACAATATAAATCTAATGTGAACAAAGAGAAAACTACCTCAGACTTTACTCCTCAAATTCACTTAGGGTCTGTGAGGTTTTTCAGCGTTTTGACCCTTTAGAGCTTCATTATTCTAAAATCTCTTTGGGTTTCAAATAGCTTTGACTTTGTGTTTGCCATCTGTGTCTTGTTGTTCCACGTCCAAACACTCACAGAGTCCCAGCCTTCTTCTCAGAGAAGACGCGGATGACGAAGTCGGCCTCTGTGTGGGGCTGGAAGGTGGTGGGCACCAGCAAGTAATTCCCAGGAGCCAGCCTGAAGCGCTCAGACACCTCTCGCATGTTGATGTAAGTCTTGCTGCGAGCTTTAGATGGATTGTAGCGAAAGAAATCCTTCCCCACGTGGTCTTCACCTTCTGGAGCCTGAACAGACAGACACAGACAGACAAGGAGATTAAACAAGCCTGGATGGACTCACTGACACTGAGACATCTTGCATCAGCCTTGGTGAGGACATGTGTGCAACCACCAAGACCTTCTGCACATACAACAACAAGCCCTGGGTCACAGCAACACACAAGCAGCCTGGTCGTGCCAAAGAGGAGGCCTACAGACGTGTGGACAGGATCCTGTTCAAGCAGGCAATATTTGGAGTACATCACTTGTACCCTTCACATCCACCCTATGTGTACTTAAAATATTTATACTATATCGAGCCAGAGAATTAAGGATAAACCTCTACGTTTCTTGTACAGTAAACAATTCATAGGTTTTGAACCTTGTTGTAACTTGCTTACAATTCCATTTAACAGAAAAACACCTGAGGCAGGAGTCTGACGCTTTTGCTGTTTTTCTGACCTGATACACGGCGAAGCCGATGGTCTCCAGGTCCAGGCCCTCCTTCCTCAGCTTTCGCCTGTTCTTCTGCATCAGAGCGATCACCACGCTGCACTGGTGGTCATCATCGTCAGTCTCCTTCAGATTCAGTTTGAACTGTGGGTTCGTCCAAAACGTGTCTGTAGATTGAAGATGAAGAGCTTTAGAGACGTTTGGGATTTAAAATGAAATGAGTCCATGTTTGAACAAGTCAAACGGAAACAAATCAAGTCTGGTAAAAACAAAAATAAAAAAATTCAACCAGCTAAATTGTTGCCAGTAAACCAAACTTGAGAAACGTGTGTAGTCACCGATGAAGTTCCTGCAGCCTCCAGCTGTGGAGCCACGGATCCAGTTTCCCTCCATCATGTTGACCTCCCACTGGTGCTTTCTGTCGCTGGCCATGTCGTCAGGGGTCATGTTGCAAAGCTCCACCTTGTCATAGTTCTTCTTGAAGTCCCCAAACTCCATCCTGCAGTGACAAACACCACCTCTTTGTGTCCAGATTTTATGCATCCACCACAGTTCACTTTAATATCAAGCAGTACAATGTTTAGAAGGCAAATCTAAACGTGTTCTTAAGGCCATATTTTAGAAATGTACTTGGCATACTTGGATAAATCATTGCCTTTTGCAGCATTACATAGAACTAGCAGACACCGGAGCTGACAGCATCACTGCTCCCATCAGAGTGAGAGAGAAATTTTATGCTAATAAAAGATTTAAATGTGCAAAGTGCTTATGGCCCAGGACTCTTCTCCATGTGGGCCCTGATCTGAAAAGGCTGCATCCCAGCGTAGTATCTCAGACCCTTTTCCAGCTGATTTATTCCATCACATCCCTCTAGAAACACAACATATCTAACGTACAACCCTGAAGCTAAGACGAAGCTGTACACAAAAAATAGATTTGTTGCTCTTTAATTTGGAACAGACCCGTCACGTAGACTCACCAGAATTCACCATCGTCTGATGAGATCTGCTGCAGGCGATCTTTGTCTGCTTTGCCAATATAATCCCACTCTCTGGAGCTGAAACGGACAAGACAGACCCATCTGTGACACCAGGCAACATCATTATTTGTCTTTAACCTGAAATCAGTTCAGTGAATTTCCAGCACTACTGGATATCGGAGCTATGAGGTTTAAAAGGCTTCGTGGTGTTTGTAAACCTCTTCACAAAGAAATACCCAAAAACATTACAACATTAAAATGTTAACTTACATAACGAACAAAATGGAACAATAAGGAACAAAATGTGTCCTAATGACACAGAGTTATTTTGCTGAAACACTGCAAGACGTTGGTGAAACCAGAACACGCCGATCCTAAAACAACAGACTTCACCGCCTCTGGCCCCTTCAGGGGCAGAAGTAGGTGACTGTAACATATCAATAAATGACCACAGAGATGTGAAATGACGGCAAAGACACAAAAAGACCACAGAGAGATGAAAAATGAAAACACAAAACTAGCACACAGAAACACAAAATACAAACAAAGAGATGCAAAATGACCACAACAGAGAAAACAGCAGCAAGGAGACAGTACTGTAGCAGAGATGTCAAACGAATCGAGGCAGGGAAAAAACAAAACAACCACAAAGAATTAAAACTGACACAAAACGGTCACAGTGAGGCAAAACACAACGACACAAAACTACTGCAAAGACACAAAAAACTACTGTAGAGAAAATCTAAATAATAAAGACAAAAAAAAAAACTAAAGGAGACACAAGAAGCAACTACAGAGACGCAACATGGCACAGAAAGACACTAAATGAACACAATGAAAACACCACAAAACAACAGAGAGACAAAACTGTTACAAAGAGACAAGGCATCATGACAAATACAAAGAAATTACCACAAAAAAGAGACAAAACAACTACAATGAAACACAAAATGATCACAGAGATGCTAAATTATAGATCAAGAGGCGCCGTCGTGTTGCTGTAGAGGTTTTGTGTCTCTTTCAGGTCCAGTGTTGTGCTCATAAAGAAGCTAAATCTGTCCAGGATGTACTTTTACTGGACATTACTGTGTATTTTGCTGCTGTTCTTCGCTCTTACCCATCGCTCCAGGGGCCGTTCCACTCAACCTGACCCCAGGGGTTTCTGATTCGGACCAGCTGCACCGTCTGTCCTCTGAAACTCACCTGGGAACCAGACAAAAGGGTCATCTGTGTCAGTGAGACAGTGGTCACAGCTGTCTCTACGCTGTCCCTAAAAATCACAGTCTTCCTTTTTAAATTGTGGCTTTGTTTGAGAGCCACAGCTGTGACTACTTGGTGTTTCCCTTATTTAAAAAAAAATGCAGGTTCTACGTTTGTGTATTTTGTGTCACTGCATGTTTTCCTTGTGCAAACAAAAATTAAAATGACTTCTTTAAGTTGAGGCTCTTGCTGTGATTGAGCACCAGTATTTAAACTAAATAAAAAGTTCCTATCATTTTCCCTCGTCACTGATTCCAGTCAGAAATTCTCCATTCTTGCCTCCTCCAGGCCTGTGATGCTGTACGCATGACCTTTCACCAGGCCGGTTGTCGTCTTGGCTTCAGACTCTGCAGAGCTGGTGATCTGGAGAAAGCCAGAGAAACATGCAGGGTGGGTTAAAGCAGAACAACTGGGAAGATCTGCCTCCTACGCCTCCTTTATGAGGAGTGGAAGCAACAATACTTAAATGGTAAAAAGAGGACATGTTCTTTGGGGTTTGGTCTTTACATCGATAGAGCATCCCATCATGGAGCCTCGGTCCAGGGCCTTCTTCATGATGGTGAACAGGTTGCTTGGAGAGTTCTTGGTCTCGTACATTTCCCCGACACCGCCGGTAAAATCCTCCATTGCCTCCAGTGTGCTGCCGCCCTTCAGGGCCTCATAGCTGCCATTCAGTCTAAAATAAACACGACAGTCCGAGTTGTTAACGTGGATTTAACAGAGGAATCTAATTCAAAAGACAAACTTTACCCATCTAGAGGTTTGTAAGATGCTGGTATCGCCGCCTGATCCTTTTGACTCACTGATCTTTCCTCTAGCACCACTATCAAGCCAAAACACCTCCGGCATCTTCATCCATTCACACACACACACAGTAGTGGACGCTCTACTGTCTGAGCCACAGCCAGATGCTCACTCCAAGCCACCCAACAGTTGTTGAGACATTTCAGTCAAAACCACAGCTGTGAAGCTCATGTGACGCTAAAGGAGAATTACCAAAGCCTGGGAACCGTGAATGTCCGCACCAGGTTTTTTACCAATTCATCCAACAGATGTTGAGATACTTTACACAGGATAAGTGTAAGTTTTGACCTGCTGGTGGTGCTAGAGGAAAACTCAGGGCATCACCAAGGTCAGGTGGACTCATCCTCTGGAGACCATGAATGTTTGTAGAAAACCTGAACTAAATCTGTCTGATAATTACCGAGATCATCCACTGCTGTGTCACTAGTGTGGCTGAGATCAAGCTAACGCCACATTTCTGTAAACATCTGTGCTCTTCAGCAGTGGAGGAAGTACTCAGAGTCTGTACTGTGTAGTAGAAATACTGTGTATAAACACACTGGTACAAGTCCTGCATTCATAATCTTACTCAAGTACTGGCATCAAAATATACTAGAAAAACCAAAAACAAAAGGACTCGTCCAGCAGAACGGCCCGTGTCCCAGTAACGTCTCTGATACTGGATCATAGTGACTAATTACTGTGTCCATCACTTTAATGCTGCAGCTGGTAAAGGTGGAGCTGATGGTAACTACCTTATATACTTATACTGGGAAGTACTTTCCATCCTACTGGGTAGCTGGTGGATTCTCCACCTGCTCTCCACACTGACCCTGAATGTTTCCACCCCAAACATCACTACGCTGCAAAAGTGAGGGACAAACTACACAACTGTCGTTCTGTAAAAACATGCGCCCCACAGTTGGCCTGATGCTCCCCAGAGGCGGAGCTCAGATTAGTCCCATCACTGAGCTCCGCTGTCAGTAAAGTGCTACGAGTGCAAAGTGATCAGTTTGTTCTGTCCTTGATGAACGTGGGTGTAGTTTAGTCACATTTAAGCAGGATAATGTCAGATGTACACTGGGATATGAAAACACAAGGATGTGTGGTTACTTGGCGTAGGCCTTCTCCAGCAGGGCGCTCCAGAACTCGTTTAAGGAGGCTGAGTGAAGGTAGATGAGTTTGTTCCTCACTGACGGCAGCCTGTCGTCCACCACCACGTCCAGCCACCTGTTGTGCTGCCAGAACTGAGGCGGAAACAGAGAAGGTGTCACACACACCACGGCTCATAATTTACTATCTGTAACGTGCACAGTCAGAGTTCACCAAAGTACACTTAGACAAAAGGTGAAAACAATGCAGTTCTATTTTGTAAACTTGTGATTTTGGCCACGTATTTTGGCTTAATAGCTGGAGAACAACAGTGGAAGTCTACGGCACAGAGCGATGAGCTAAACCATGGTCTGGACTCACACACTTTACGCTGAGTACACCACAATCGTTGTTGTTAGTCTCTGCTGTTTTCTGCAAATCCCATTCAAACACAGAAAAAATGGTCGGACTTGTCCTTTAAAGGAGTTTTAACCATTAACGTACTGTATGCTTCAACTACTCATCCATTCTCCATGAATGTCCAGTTTTACTTTGTCCTTCCTGACAGAAACTGAAATGTCTGGAAAGGCTGAAAAGGTCTGACACAGTCCATGACCAGCAGGAGCACACGAGGGCGTGACCCGTCTCCACTCAGCCTGCAGTGTACCTGGAAGTGAAAGATGCCGGCGTATCTGCTGTCAAAGTCCTGGTCAGCGGGTATGACTCGGGCCATGGCGTCTGATTTGAGGGTCAGGGATGCGATGGCTGCCAGGAGCCAGCAGTCCCCTGTGGAGACAAACAGGTGCACTGACCAGCAGGGGCACACGAGGGCGTGACCCGTCTCCGCTCAGCCTGCGGTTTACCTGGAAGTGAAAGATGCCGGCGTATCTGCTGTCAAAGTCCTGGTCAGCGGGTATGACTCGGGCCATGGCGTCTGATTTGAGGGTCAGGGATGCGATGGCTGCCAGGAGCCAGCAGTCCCCTGTGGAGACAAACAGGTGCATCATGGGTAAATGAGTGACTCATGTGCATACAAATAACAGAGTGATTCCTGCAGAGAGCTTGATCACTGACCGAGCTGCCCTTGGCAAATGTCTGTCCTGTCTGCACCGCCGACGATGAACTTTGGGTTACTGCACAGCTCCTGTAGAAGGGACGAGAACCAGGAACAGGTTAGTTTACGTTAAAACACACACACACGACAGGTGAGAGGTGACACTGGTGGCTTTAATAGGTGTGTCCACATTCCAGGCGTGTCAATCACACATCCAGTCACTGAAACAAAAAAAACAGCACACACCACATGCAAGCAGCTGAAGCATTTATTCTGAAGGAACGCCCAACAGGGAAATGTGTAGAAATCACACTGAGCGTGAACGGAGAGTTTCCCCCAGCTTAGCGTAACCAGGGTGTACCAACAGGTAAAAGGTGCTGGAGCTGAACTAAAGGACTCGTTTTAGCTGGAAAGTGAAATAACACACAGCTTTAAAGGTTTCATGAAAAAAAAAATCATCCACATGGACATGAGCTCTGAGCAGCCACAGACTGTGTCACAACAGTCAGGTAACAGTGAAGCTCCTGGTGATAAAGTCTGCACACGGAGCTCCGAGAGACAAAACTCTCTGCACTTACCTCTATTTACACTGTTTCCTTGCTGAACTGGTTTTGTATTAAAGGCAATAAGACCAACTTGAAACAACTTTTACTTCAATTATTTAGCACCATGACATCTGTGAGTTAACGGCAGATGGTGGCTTTGGTGTAGCACTTTAGTTTTGCTCTTTTGTTGTAGAGTTTCACCTAAACTTAAACAGTTTAATCAAGTTTTATCTCCACAAACAACTAGAATATGGAAAATTTCACACCAAAACCTCGACATCTCAGTCATTTAATTTTTAAATTCTGACTAAGAGTGAAGATGTGTCTAAACTGATGCTGCTCTGACCGCTGCCTCGATCCAGCACTACAAGTCCTAATGTAAACTATGCCTACATACCTTGGGCCTCTTCCATTCAATGTTGACAGGAACACTCTGGCTGTAGAAGAGTGAGGGGCCGGTGGCAGGGAAGTCTGGGTCTTCAAACAGGACCCCCTTCTGCAGACATTCCCTCCTCAGCTGCTCAAACGACTTTCCATCTGACTGTGTGTCCAGGGCCTGGTTCTGGTCGGAGCCCTTGCCGGACAGAGTGGACTGGAGAGGCATCTTCTTCTTCTTCTTCTTCTTCTTCTTCTTCAGGGAGCGCCTGAGTGCAGGAGAAGGAGACTTGAGGTGAAGTGCGATGGACTGAGTCGCCTGCTGCGTGTCTGATGCATGGACCAGCCTGTCAGGTTGGTAAGGCCAGAACGCCCACACCCTCCAGACAGAAACTGGTTAGTCCTCCTGTGGCGGTGGACCTCGCCCTGATGACTGTCTCTCTCTCTCTTATCTCTGGTTTTGGGCTTGGCCTGAAGGAAACGGTAAGAATTCATTCCTGACAGTTTGACAACAGATTAAATAGCTAGAGGTGGTTCTCATTCAGATCAGTCTCTCTGAATGGGAACTTTGTGGCTTAAAGGACCTCAACAGGGGCTACTACAAAACCTAACCACAAACCACTTGTCCCAAATTACATGAGTATTAATATTTAAAATACTACTGAGCGTTTATGACGTGATAATTATTCCCAGCAGGAGGTGGAGTCTGGAGCCAGCCTCGTGTTCTGGTTCCCTCCCACACAAGCAGGTTAGGCCACATTGCCTGCAGGTGTGAAGGTAAGGAAAAGGGTTTCTGCCCACCCCCGTGACTCAGACCTGGTGTGTCCACAGCAGTGTGAGCAGACCAGACCAGATGTGCTCTGTGCCCCTAGATCCGATTCCTCTCCGACCTCTGACTGTGCAAGTGCCTTCAGAACAGAACTGATGTGGTCGTTTTAACGTCTCCTCCTCTGCCTGTCATCATCATTCAGGTTGAGTGAGGACCAAGAAGCAAGTAGTGATCCTATAAGAGACTTGAGATGCAGCCACTGTTTCGTTTTTTGTTGTGCATGATACAAGTGAGAAAATAAAAAGGAACCGACTGAAACAACAGTTCAAACACATTCTGTTATTTATTTCTTGCTTTGGGGGAACAAAGGTTTACTGAGGAACATACAGGAAATTTGCAGGATAACTTTATAAATGGAGAAAAAAAAAACGGTGTGTTAACAATCCAGGACTATCAAATCAGTGCTTCTTAGTCCTCCTCAGGACCACCTGGATGAGAACTCTTGGAAGCCAGAATATTACAAAAATACTGTATCTTTTAAGCATTGCACAGTTACTGACACCTGGTCTGAATACAGCCTTTCATTCTCAAACATGCTAGTTACACTGTGCAACCCCAGGGCCCCAGCAGGCCCACTCGGACTCGGACACAAGCCAACTGCTTGTTCTGGTGTTTCACATGGTCACTCAGCAGCTTTTGTTGTAAAGAATGAGACTTGCTGCTTTACAAAAAAAAATGTAATTAGCTTTGCTTCTTTTCTACACCGAGCACTAATGATGAAACCAAAGTCCTTCTCCTGGGCAGGTGGTGACAGACCAGCAGAGTCTGACTGGCGACCACATCTTCAAACACCCGGAGACATTCCAGCTTTTCTCCCAGGCAGAAACCCGACGGCCGTGCCTAGTGTTCTACTTTCTCCTGTGCACTTCCTGTCACCAGCAGCAAGTTGCAGGCCATGAACTGGACATTCAGCACGCTGTTGGTGTTTCCAGTGTACAGTCCCACCAGCTCGCTGGACGAACCATCAGCCGGCGTCCCGCCATGTGAGTTGCGGATGTCCCACATCCGCACCGAGTTGTCCATAGACGATGATGCCACCAGGCTGCTGTCCGGGCTGAAGGACAGGCTAGTGATGCTGTCTGTGTGTCCCCGCAGGTCTTTGTACAAGGTCCCTGACGCCAAGTCCCACAGCTTCACCCGCTGGTCCTCGCCAGCGGATGCCAGGTACTTCCCATTAGGTGAGAAAGCGAGCGACTGCACAGGGCCGCGGTGGCCAGTGAAGAGGCGAACAGACGCCCCCTGCTGGGTGGCCCACAGCCGGACAGTCTTGTCTGTGGAGCCAGTGGCCAGGTAGTTGGAGTTTGGATGGAATTTCACACAGTCAACATCGGCCAGATGCCCGGCGTACAGCCGCAGCGGGTAGGTGCGGGAGAACGTCCAGAGTCGGGCAGTGCGGTCGTGGGAGCCACTGGCAAAGTAAAGGCTGCACGGGCTGACGTCCACATCCCACACCGGGTAGGCGTGGCCCTGGTAGAGCGCCGTGTTGGTGAAGCTGCCCAGGTCCCAGTAGCGGACGGTCGTGTCCTCAGAGCAGGAGAGCAGGCCAGAGCTGTCGGTGAGGAAGGAGGTGCGAAACACCGGGCCGCTGTGACCTCGCAGCGTCTTTATCTCACTGCCGGAGCCGTCCTCCTCATCCACCTGAGTAGAAACAACAGAAATACGTGACGCCCAAAACCACACATCTATATTCTACACTATGTTTTACTAAGTTCAAATGATTTGAAAAAGAAAAAGGGTCAATTTAATCAGTCTCTATATTTAGTGATAGGGCTGGTAAACAACATGGCACAGCTGGCACACAACTGGCAAACAAACATGCCAAATATTCTGTGGGTCAAGATGCTCAAATCGGAGTATTTGCTGCTTCCTGCTGTTTTATACCGGTGTAACCTGAAGATTGTTGGGTTTTGTACCGTTATTCAGAGAAAACTGCTGGCATGAGGACATCAACCTGGAAACTTGTGATGAATAATTGCTGATATTTCATGGACCAAATGATTAACGGAAAAAACACAGATAAAGAAAGAACAATAATCATTATGTGCAGCCCTAATCAGCCGTACATGTCACAGTAAACGTCCTGTTTCACATCAAAGGCATTTGAAACAACCATTCAATCAGGTTTAACCCTTCTATCAACTCACTTCCTCCTCCAGGACATCACATGCCAGGTGGATGCGAGACACGTCGGCCTGATGCGGTTTGGCCTTCAGTTTTCTGGCTCGCAGGCTCCACAGCTTCACCGTGGAGCTGTCAAAGCCGGCAGCGAGCAGCCGGCTGTCAGCCGACACCTCAGCAGTGTTCAGCATCTGCTCCGTGTGGTGGAAGGCGTAAAAACACACAGTGGTGAGCGAGGGGGGGCCCTCGCGGACTTTCTTGATGCAGTCCTGCAGTGCCTCCAGGGCCACCTCACTCTGTGGGATCCCTGCAGGGACCTCCACCCCCTCTCCACCCTCTACTGAATCCACTCCCGCCCAGGAGGAGGTGGAGTTTGGGGCGGTGGACACCCCACTAGTGGTTCCATACAGCTGGTAGTCTGTACGCCTGGAGGCGGTGACCTCCACCTGCAGGTGTGTGCTGAGGACCCTGCAGAGGGTGCTGTTGTCCTCGCTCTGCAGGTAGCGCAGCAGGTAGCTGTAGGCCGGCTCCGTCAGGTGAACCACGTACTTGTGCTCCAAGAAAGCACTCAGCTTGGGATTGGCTGCAACATCCTGAGCAGTGAGAACATGGCGGAGCTGCTCTATGGTGGCACGCTGCTCGCTGTCCTGAAGAAAGGCACCATGGAAACGACTGTAGAAACCATCGACTGCCCCCTTGAGGCCACAGTGCACCATGTCCAGGTGGAGGTAGACGAAGAGCGGGTAGAGGATGCTGCGCACTTCCTTTGCCAAGGATATTTCTGTTTCTAATGTAGGGGAAATAAAAAGTATTCTGAGAGGTTTTTAATTAAAAACAAGATCAGACTCTTAAAATGACTTAGATATACGATTTTTCTAAAACAATAAAACAGACTTTTATTAAACTAGTAACTAATGGCAATGTCATTACACACTGATCTTCAGCTAT